AAAACCCAGTATTATCCCAACTAAGAAAGTGTTTGAACACTGACATGAGGCTACAAGTGGAAAATTCCACATCTTACAAGATCAATCACAGTAAAAACACAGCTGCACTAAAATTACTGTATAAAATTACCTTCAGGATATGTAAGTTGCCCATGGAACAAAAATAAATTTCATGTGTAGTTTTGTGCCCCATCCCTCAGCTACCTCTCTATTTTGTACGTGAGAAATCTGAAAACATCCTAAACATTATCGCCTGGGTCCTAAGTCTTTTAGATAAGAGATATTCAACCTGTAGCTCTCTTTGACTTACTGGGAAGTGAGAGCCACTGTAGTGGCACTTCACAGTGTTTTCGTGGATTTCTCAATGAATTCCAGTTCCCCCTCTTCCATACTGTCCTGGCTGGATGCACATCTCTCAGAGTATTGATAACTTAATTCATGGGTCAGACTGCATTCCGGAAGGCCTAAGAAAATCAAGATCAGAACTGTCTCCTTTGTTTTAGTCATTAGAATATTGAATGTAGGATTTTGTTCCTTTGATAAGAGCTAGTAGCCATCTAAGAGGTTTTTCATTTGTTTTTGTTTTTTTTCATGGGAAGATAGGGAAATAGTGTCATATTTTAGGCCAGCATTCTCACCTCAAACCGTATTCTCTAGCCTTTTTTCCTTTTTCCTTTTCCTCCCTCCTTCCTTCTCTTTCCCCCTCTCTCTTCTCTTTCCTTTTCTCCCTTCCTCTTTTTTGAGGTGCCAGACCTAAGGTTGAACTCAGGGTTTGGCAACCACCCTTTTTTGCTCAAGGCTCGCGCTCTACAACTTGAGCCACAGCTCCAGTTGTAACCAGCCTTTTGCTGGTTAACTGGAGGTAAGAGTCTCCTGGATTTTCTTGCCCAAGCTGACTTTAAACTGTAATCCTCAGAGTGGCTAGCATTACAGGCTTGAGCCATCTCCTCCTTCCTCTTCCCCTCCTCTTCGGTGCTGGTATCAGGGCTTGCACTCAGGCACGTTACCACTTCAACATGCTTCCAGTCTGTCTTTTTGCTGATTTGAGAGTCTCACAGACTTTTCTACTTGGGCTGGCATCATTGCATGATGCCTTATGTCTCAGATACCTGAGTATCTAGGATTACAAACATGAGCCACAGATCCCTTGCTTGGTTTCATTTTCTTTGATGACTAAGATCATTAAGCTCTGTATCTTGTGAGACAATTTTCTGAGGTTGCATCTAATAACTCTCCTTGGTCTTAGTTAAAATTTTTTGGCATAAAGCTTATCATGGTGTGCGTCTGTTATTTTACTTTTGTAAGTTGTTGGTAATGTCCTATTCTTCATATATTATTTTAGCTACCTTTCTGTCTTGCCGTTGTTTTAAAGATGTTAATTTTTGAAGAGCCAAATTTTGGCTTTAATGACCTATTGGTTGTTTGTATCATTATTAGCCCTTCCTTTTTGTATGTGTTTATTATATCTTTTCACTCTAGTTCATTTTAGCGTTTCTTTTCTTTTCAGGCAGGAAAAGAAGTTTATTTACTGAATTCCTGCCCCTGCCATGCATGGTGTAGCATGGCTGAAAAGGAAAAAGGGGCTCTTCTTTCCTTATATTCAGTCTTTTCTAGCATGGCAGTCTACAGTCCTCTAACTACTGCTTTAGTTTTACTTATATTCCACATAAATTAATGCACCATACATATTTTCTTACACCAGTTTAAGGAATTTTCACTTCCATGAATTTCTTGTGAATTAACTAGAACTGTTAATGAACCCTCAGATACATGAAGCTTTTTTTCTAGATTGTTTTTATATTGATTTCTACTTTAATTTCATCAATAGAGAAAATCTTGTAGCACTTCTTTGAAACAAAGATTTACTTAATTTATAAGTGAATAATTTTTATGCTGCTCCGTTGTTGAAAAAATATGAATTTGAAAATGTGGGCCTGCAGTGCATATAACTCAGTACTTCAACATTTCTATGTATTTCTTGGTGTCTGGTTGTTTTAGGAATTACTGAGATGTGTGATTTTCATTTTTGGTACTGTCATTTTATTTTGGTCTTCTGTCCTTTAAGGCAATTTTAGATTTTCCAAATTTCTTGTCACTGCTTCTAGGCCAAGGAAAATCCCTTGTCCAGTGAAAAAGTGGAGCCATGGCTTCAGGAGGAAACAGGTCATCACCAATACTACAGGGTGTGGCCAGTCAGAATTCTTCCTGGCTGGAGATGGGGGAATGTGCCTGACAGTGAATCTTGAGTCATGTGAGATGCTCTACCAGCTCAGGATTTACTAGCCCAGCAGGCACCTGGGGCTATGTGCTCCTGGATAACCCTTTGAAATTTGAAGGAACTGTGGAAAAAATGAGGTAGAGCTGTGGTACCGACCTTGGTAGAATTTTAGATTTTTAAAAAATATATATATTATTGTAAATATATTTATTGTATATATTTACTGTGCAAAGGGGTTACAGTTACATGAGTAAGGTAATAAGTACATTTCCTATTGAGAATTTGTTACCCCTCCTTTATTTTTTCCCTACCTTCCCTTCCCTCCCTACCTCCCCAACTTCTCCCTACACCCCCCTTAGTAGAATTTTGAGCCAGGGATCACAAGGTTCACAGTGGCAGTGCTCATCAGGTAGATTTGTAACTTAAGGCCAGAGTATTCACTGACTATGTGCTCTGGAGCTCCAAGGAAACACTCTTCCCCTCACTGAAACCACGACACAAACACTAATCGATGAGCACCTACACCTGAGAAACTCAGTAGTGGATTATAGGACAGGGTTGATTATACGAATGTCACTATGGCACTTGGTTTCCCTTGTGCGCCGGGAGATGCTGAGATTCTGGAACAGCAGAGGCCAGGTGGCAACACATTCTGCCTCAAGTAAGTGTCTAACTAGAACAGGCAGCAAGAAATGGCCACCAAGGGGTACAACCCACAGGTACTGGTGGAGATGCCAGGTAAACCGTGACAGGATAGGGACAAGGTAGATGGGTAGCCATCAAAGGTTTGCTTGGCTACTTTAATGATATCAAGATTCAGATGTCAGCTGCTGCAATTAAAACCACCAGTCCACAACTACCCTTTCCAGGCCTAAGCCTGTTCTCAGGCTGGTAGTCTCTTAGATCAAAGCAGAGGCTGGGGCTCTTAAGAAAGGACAGATGAAAAAAACCACAAGCTTCGAAGGATCTACAGCCATTTGCCAGAAAGGGAAGGTGACTCTCACCTTAGGACTACTGGACAACATCTTGCTTTCGGCTTCAAGTAGGCACTGGAGATTCCCTCTGCCACTCCTCCCCCCCGCCCCCCTAAAAGGACCAACAGTTTTATGTAGGGCTGATAGTTTTTAGACTTCTTCAGAGGTATAGAACCATTTTTTTCTGACAAGGGCTATTTGGGTATTTATAACATAAATACCATGAGTCACCAGTATGGACAGATGTCCAAAGGAAGCTGATAAGCATACTTGTCTGTCCCATCATATACCAAATGATTTCATAGGTCTTACATATCCATAAGACAGACCTATGAATAAACTCTATTACAGTGTGAAAGAAACCATAGACATTAACAAATAATAGATGTAATCCAATAAAACCTTACAAAAACAGGCAGCAGGTCACATCTGGCCTACTGACCAGTTTTTTGATCACTGGTCAATTTTCCTAAAAATCCCATGTGCATTGGGCAATCATGTATAGTCTCCAGCTGTGGAATATATTGCTTTACCCAGAACAGCATATCAAACCATGCCACTCAACTTCTATTGTACATTTTGGGGCACCTGCTCTATAACTGATTTTTAATTGTTTGAACACCCCCCATCCCCAGTATGGTCATGAATTTGTCCAATTTTATACCTTATAGAATTTATCAGTTGCATATAAGTTAAGCATCTATCCCTACTTAATCCAAACTTGAATCACCTGAAGAAATTCTCATTAACTGAGTAATTTTTTTTACCTTGAATTACACTGCTTTGAGATGAATAGTTTTCCTTTATTGCTTTGTTTGCATCAAGTTTTGTTCTTTATTTTTTCCATCTCTCTATGCCTTTGTATTTTATTTGGTTCCTGATCAATACTACATCAATACTACAGAACATAAACTGTAAGAATCGGCCTCTGAGAAGATAGAGTAAATGGAAGGATATTTACTGACAGGATGGAGTCTGACTGCCAGTGGCTTGTTTGATAGTTAGACAACATAGGTATGTTTGGCATATGGGATGTTCAACAAAACAAGGTTATCCTTGAAGTTAAGTTTTATCAATGCTGTGGCTTCCTAGGTTTATACAGCATTGTGCATTTTCATCAGAATTATACCAGTTGTTCACACTGATTACTTAGTAGTAGCTAATGTGGCTTCCAAAAAAAGTAGTAGCTATGCTTATTAATACCCTAAAGCAGTACAAGAAATAACGAGGGGAGCTCTCACCAGTTGCTTGCTTCCTGATCTTACTAGAAGCTTCCCAGGGATCCCTTCATCCCCTTAACTTGGAATGTCAGTTTACCTGCTTGTCACTCTTTGCTGAACTCCAGGTAACTTAACAAAAGTTAACTTAGCATGTAGCTAAGACTCTGCCTAGTTTTAGAGGAAGTGGGAAGACGCCACACAGAAAGTGGCAGAGCTGAATGGCCAGAGGGGGCCTTTCCACACTGCTAGATTCTTTCCACTCACTGGCTTTCCAGAAGACCTCCTTAACAAGGGTGTATGATTTCCTTTGGACTCAATTTTCTTATCAGAAAACTGGAAAAAAAAAATTTCCCCCCAAAACCGTATAGGTTAAAGGAAATAGTGAAGGTGACTGCCATACAACAGGCCCTTGATGAGACAATATAACAGTCCTCCTTCCCTGCTCTGAGCAGCCCACAGGACAGCAGCAGTCCTCGCAATTAGGGGCCTTCTGAAAACACCTCTTAGCATCTGGCTAAGACTGTCCTCACACCACGGAAACAGTTCATTCTCAACAACATACATTTCTTGCAGAGAAGAAAAATGACCCACACTTTCATTTTCTTTATTTTTCATTGATACCGTATGAATACAAAGTTTCTAGAAAGCTACAAAATGTCTACCACTTTATCAAGAAGGCATCAAAATGTGTCACTTTGCAAAGACATGAAAACACCTGCAGGAAACTGACACAAAAATAGCATTTTTAGAGTGATGAAATAATTGCACTTAACTGTCATGGATATTAAAGTTATCACACATATGTACCGCGAAAGCTAGAATACATTTGTTTTGTTTTTACAAAGCACTTTATAAAAAAATTCTCTGCACACAAACCCTATAATTTTCATATAACTATCATACTAAAGATAAATTCACTTTAAAGCCAACACTTAGAACATTTTTTTAAACAAAAGGTACCAGTACCTAAACACAAACATTAATGAATACAATACTGTACTGCCCAGAGGTTTAACCAAATGCCTTTCAAAAGTTTCTGCAAATGGGTTAAGAAATCGTGTGTGAATCTGCCCACCCCTTGCTCATTTCTCTAATCTCCTTAAGAGGAACCCGTTACCCAGAGGTGAGTTCCCACCCGGTCCCAGCAGCAGTACAACATTAAAGGAACCAGATGAAACGCTACGCCACAAGCCCATTAAGCACGCCACGAAGACAAGAGAAAACCATTAAGTTCTTGAGAATGTGGACAAATATATGTGGCAAAAACCAACTCACATAAAACTTGAACAATATTAAAGAAGTAAAGGCTATTCAGGTTTTTAAAATGTTACAATTTTTTTGTTATTTTTTTAGGCACGTACTATTTTTGTTTTTGATTTTTTCCTTGTCTGTAGTCATAAGCCCATTGAAAAAGGCCAAGAGAAGTCAATATTTCCAGGAGGTAACAGGGAGATGTACATGGGTCATTTAAAGAAGTGTGGTTATTATTCAATTTATGCAGTGAAATTAATCACAGAAAAATGATTAATGGGAACAAAAAACCCTAAGGGATTAGTTTCCAATTGGCTGACAGCTGGTTTCTGTCCGCCTCTCCTGGAAGGAGGGGAAACAGAATAAGCTCATTGGAAGGTCATAAAAGTCAGCCTGAGCCAGATGGAATTCTAATGGAATCTGACCCAGTGTAGTGATGAATGAGAGAAGAAGGAAATGTTGCTTCCAACAGTAAAATGATGTATATATAGCGTGGCATTCAGTGATTCACTGCAAGTTCAGAGTAAAATGAGCAAGGGCTTAGGAAGTACAACAATAAATAAAATATTCTATATGACTGAACAAGGCATGGCTTCAGTGAAGCTACTGTTTGCAATGCAGTAAAATTTCAACAGAAAACCTTCATTCTTAATGACGAAAGCAAAGCACTAATGAGAGAAAACCAGTGCCAAACAAGACAGGGACAACTGGAAAGAGAAGCAGGGACACATGCATGTGACTAATTTCTTCCAAGTTGTGGGACCATTCTGATAGTGAAAAATCAAAACTTCAAGCAGCTAACTATAACATAGGCTGAGTAATTTTCCTTTTCATTTGATAGTGTAGTTTTCTTTTAACAGAACTCTTATAAATACAACATGGGAGTGGAGGCAAGAAATCACTCCTGAAATTTCAGAGCCCAGAGAAGCTATTCCTAAAGACACAGGTAAAGACTGAACACAGGTAGCTATTCCTAAAGACACAGATAAAGACTGAACACATGTAAGTAAGTTTAGAGGTTAACTTTCAGAGTTGTTTGATGTCATTTTTACATCTATATTAGCAAAGAAAAGTCGTTCCTGGCTTCTCTTTGGCTGGTGTTTGTGTGCCTCCTTGTCTGTTTACTCCTCCTCCCGACCACTAACAGTTTTCCCAGTTTATACAAGTTTTGATATAAACTGGCACATTAAGGAGTTGCCCTCCCCACCTGGCGGGGGGGAAGGGCTGGAATATTCTTTGAAAATGCCAAATTGCAGATGGTGCTCTTTGGAAGTTTCTCATGGCACATTCACACACAACACTTCAATTGTAATGACCCTAACACATTTTTGTTCTGCACTGTCATCTCAGTTTGAGGCTTCCAACTTTCAAAATGGTATCACTGTGTATAGCAGGTAAGTGCGCACTGTCATTTGGATGGAACAGAAAGTCTCCAGAGACGGAACATGAACACAAGAAGGTGAAAGCTGTAGTATCTGTCCACTGGCTGAGATTCTGTTGTTGGTGTGGAAATTCCTTCACACAGATGCAGGCTGGGTGACGAGCTGACATGACATGCCGAGTCATCGGCACACACAAACACAACAGTTTCCGGGGTTCCTCCTGTTGCGGTGTGCTATTGGTGAGTGGTAGTGGGCCCCCACTGGAGGACAGGCTCACGGTAGGTGGGGGCCACACGGTGCTCTTGTGAACGGAGACCTGTGGTTGGTTACTCACCCCGGTAAACCAAAGGCATTACGGTGATCTCAAAATATTTTTGGTCTCTCTACAAATTGTCATCTTTATGGCAGCACTTTTCTAAGCTGGAATCTCAAACCAAAGGCACTTTCATGCTAGGGTGCAGAAGGTTCACAAATAACTAAGTATTTGGTCATGAATTTAAAAGGCAACTAGAAAAGGACAATTTGCTTTTCAGAGTAAACTACAAAGTTGCAACCTTTAGTTTTGGTATATATACATTTTGAGAGGGTGGTTAGTCAAAGAATTGACTTGGGTTCAGTTTCTGATTTTAGATCAAGTCAACCATTTCTTGTAGACTGGGTAAAAATGGGCTTCAAAACACAAATATGACAACAATTTTGCTTGTCTTGTTTCTGGGATTGGGCCAATTAGTGAATGGACACCAAGAGCAGGTGTGCGAAAGGCTGGCGGCATGACTAAGGCACTGCTACTGGAACACTTTGGCAGCTCTGAATTGAAAACTCCCTACAGAAGTAACGGTAGTAAGAGAATGCTTCCAGCTTACAAAAGGGCCCATAGTTCCCAGGCAGCCTTCTGCACTGCTTACCCTACACGCAACATCTCTAAGATTTAAGGCTTTTCAGAAATGACACGTGCAGGACTTTGCCACAGAAACAGCAACATACAGAAATCAGCAATGCAGACATCCACCTGATGTCACAGGAGTGAACGCCAACAAACAGAATTACTTCTACCCTTCCTTAGGACAGGTGTAGTGTACCAGAGCATATACAAAAGTAGACAAATTATATGTACCTGGTTTGTAGAATTAACCAACTGTTATCTCATACAATGGCAATAATTTATGGTTGTACAAAAACAATGGCCAAAGCCACCACAGTATTGAAATCCAATGAAGACTTGGGTCTAAAAGTTGTTTGGGGACTTTTAACACCAAGTGCTTGGAACAGAGGGGCTGTTTTTGGCTGGTCTGAGGGCAGGATTTTGCTGCTCTGATGCTCAACAAATAGAAATTTGATTCAGAGCCTGTGGCATATGAATTGTCTTAAGCAGAAGCAAAAAGGCTCATCAGTTTTCCCAGTGCTATGGAGGCCTCAGATGGGCACTCCCTGGTGAGAAGTAGCATCAGGGCGATGCTGGGCTTCTACATCAAGGATTCTCAAGCCTCCTCCCCGATCTTCTGCACCAACCCTGTCACACATTCTTACAGATCATTGAACATAGAGCACCGAAGAAGAATGGCCTCGACCAGAAGAGGTCAAGGATCAAAGAGGTGGGAGCCCTGGACAAGGGCTCACCCTTATTTTGTCACTAGCCAGTTGGGTGACTGGGCATGTCATCGCATGCTCCTCCAGCCTCAACCTTCTTGCTCACAAAATGAAGGGGAATTGACTGCATTGTCTTTTGCATCAAAAACAAAGAATTCTAGAAGCTCTCTTCTGGAACATATCCCTTCCCACTGATGAAAAAAAATCCTCCAGAGGTCTCAGTAAGTTCTACAAACACCATGGGTTGTAAGGCAAAAAAGTAGATGCAGCCTAGAAGAACCCAATTGAAACAATTAAAGGTTTGGATAATGAGATCCATGGGCTTATTTTTTTTAACCCCAATAAACTAAGAGCTGAAGGTCAAGTCAGAAATGTTCAGAAATGCTCTGTGGAAGAAAACTTTCAAACTAGGAAGAAACAGGATACAAATATCACTTCATGAATTCTCCTACCTGCCTCCTGATACCCGAAAAGAAAAGGAAAGAAAAGAAAGGCTCCCAGGAGAGAAAGTTTTGGAAAGCAAAATGAAAGGGAAACTGTCACCAATAAGCTAATGTGACCCATAAGGTCAACTGGTGTGACTATACCCCATGAACCATTTGGTACATACAAGCACATGATGAGTTGTGAAAAATGGGGTACAGGCCAGGGACACTAATAAATCTTTTACAAAGTGTAAGGCAACCCCATACAATAAAGAATGTCACTAGTGTTGAGGCTGAAGAAACCTGGTCTCAGGTAACCTGTGTATTACAAACTCGGGTGCATTCTGAAAAAGCCTCAGTTGACAGAGGACTTCTTCCTACAATGGAAACCAAGGCCAACAGCTCCTCCGTTCTTCAATTCCTCCCTAGGAAAGCAGGCCTTCAAACTGAGGAGCAAAAGCCCAGGATGGCCATGAAAACTATGGTACTGGCAGAGAGCACTGAGACTAGTGGGGTTGGGGCTTGGCATAAGCTTCCTTATGGTGAAGGAAGCTTTGAAGATAAGAAGAGAAGGAAGAGGATCAGAAAGGGACTGAGATTAGATGTGAGAACACAAAATCCACACAAGGGTCTACTTTGAGAGACACAAAGAGAAGTAAGCGGGGCTGGGAAGGTGGCTCAGTGGTAGAGCACTTGCCTTGCATGCATGAGACCCTGGGTTCGATTCCCCAGCACCACATAAGCAAAAAGAAAAAAAGAGCCGGAAGTGGCGCTGTGGCTCAAGTGGTAGAGTGCTAGCCTTGAGCTGAAGAGCTGAGGGACAGCGCCCAGGCCCAGAGTTCAGGCCCCACAACCGGACCCCCCAAAAAAAAAAAAAAAAAGAGAGAGAAGCAAGCCCAAGACCTGGGGTAACTGGACCAGAGACTAAATAGGAAAACTATCTGTCCTGTAGAAAGCTCTAAAATATTATTATTAAAGAATCTTATGGCTCATAAAAGAGCAAAAAAAAATAACGCTCAAAATCATTCATATAAACACCTAAAACTCAAGTACAAAGGTGTTCAGAGGCATGAGGACAGGAAGCCACTGTAGTTCCAGCCTGACCCTACAGCTAACTGCTAACCTTTAGCTGGTCTTCTTCAGTCTACCTTTTTGTACTTTGCAAATGAATCCTCACAGTCCTCCTAGAAACACAACAGAATCTCACTCCTGGATGACAACATCATCCAGATACCTCTCAAGTTCCTGGATGGCCTGACTTTTAGCCATATATACCTTTTCATAAAGTTCTAGTCTTTGGGGTAGTTAGGATTCTCTTGAGGAAAGGTATAGGAAATAGAGACCAAAGAAACATCCCTAAAAGGGATGTCCAACAGAAGTTATAGTAAATATGATGACTATGGAAGATGTATAAGTGTTTGGTCTGAAGAATAGTTTTGAAGGGTTGGAAACCAGGGTAGTCCTTCAAAGGCTTGCTTGGAAGCACGTAGCCAGGTACACAAAGGTAGCCTCGTTTTGGAGTACTGTCCTACCAATATATGTAAGGCAGATGTGTTCCAAATAAGACAGTTATGCTGTTTCCAAATAAGACAGTTCTCCTGTTTTCCTTAGTGACCTTTGGTGAGTCTGGGAGAAGTCAGGCTCTCAGACACTGATACAGTGCTGTTCTTTTTGCGACAAGCCATCCAAATACTACACTCATGGCCCCAAAATGCTGAACAATGCACAAGAGGGTTAGAGCAGATGGCAGGGAAAGGGACAGAGTAAGTCACTTGGTGTGGTACTTTCTAGCCTTGGTGGAAAAAAATCTTGCCATGGATTGTAAATAACAAGACTTACTTCATATCCTATTGTGTTCACATATTCCAAACGATTACAAAAACACATTTTCTTTAAAGAAGGCTTCCTCTTCCCTCCTCGATGAAGCACTTTTGGAAATTACCCAAGACATGTGGCCCAATCAAACCAACTCTGCCCAGGCAAGGCTTTGGAATATTTAGTTAGGAAAGAGAACCTCCTGAATGAGCCTGGTAGCAAAAGTCCAAAGATGGATGGAATTCTTAAACCTAAGTCCAACAAGCGCTGTACTGGGCATCCTTAGAGAGAACAGATCTAAGACTACAGACACAGATTGAGATACGTACACACATCAGCACCTAGCTAACTGAGTACTACTAAACAGATGTTCAATGGGAGTGGAACAGCCACAGATGTATATGTGTACATACTCAGTACACATATTTACACACATAGTTACAGTTATAGCAGGTTCCTACTTATATTGGGTCATCAGAAATAAAGAATTTATCCACAGGCTGGTGGGGATGCTCGCAACATTCTGGGGGAGCAGAGACCCTAACTGATGAGCCTTTTACTTGTTTGGTCAATGAAGTTTTCTCCCAGCCACAGGATTCTCTATTCTTTGCAGCTCACAGTGCAGTATTCATGCCAATTTTAGACTTTTGCTATTAAATTTCAGTGGATCGAATATTTACTCATCTCAATAAAAAATTTGGTTGTCCATATAAAATATAACTGCACACACAAGACTATAAACATTGTAAGCTTAAATTTTTCAGTATTTATCTACTTATTGCAAAAAAGAGCCATCTTTTCTTTTTCATTAAATAATCAATCATCACATTAGTACAATACAATTTTACATTTTTTAAATATACTATATATGTTAAGGATAAGGGGTGAAGTCTTCTTCCTTTGTATTACCTTGTTTAAGAGTTTAATGGATTAGGAGATTAGTTTTAACCTTGAGGAAAGAAGTACAAATTTTTCTCATTAGAATATTTCTACCAAGCATTTCTTAAGGCTATAGTTTAACATTTGGTTTCAAAAAAAGAAAGGTTTCATTTAAAAAATAATTTAGTGAATTACATTCTTTCATAACTTCCACCCTAATTAGTTACAAAGATAAGTCTAAAGATTCTTAGTTTTGTGTACTAATTTACATTTATATTTAAAGATTAATTTTACTTGTATCTTAAAACAAGAATTTTATGTTGAAATAAAAAGAGAGAACTAAATACATTTGTATAAAGGCAGTAAATGTCCCATGGCCAATGCTCTGTCTCAGTATTTTCTACCACAATAAGAAACAGGTCTCTGCAGAGAGAGAGACTTAGGTTGTTAAGTTTCCCCTTTCCCGAGGAATTGTATACGACAGATCTGAAGAACACATAGAAACTATTCAATTTTTCTTTTTACAACTGTACCAGAACTTCACAGCTATGACAGAATGAACACATGAAAAAAAATGACTTCACTCAAACAAGATTTAGAAAAATTGGGGTGACCTCGGGGCCAGGGCACCACCACTCTGTGTGGTGAGGTTTACAGTCAGTCGTTTGATAATGGAGAGTGTGTGTGTGCACATAGTGTGTGTATATACATACAGATATCTATATATATAAATAATCATGTTCAGTCCTTTACAAGCCTGTAAATATGATGTTGTGCGCCGTGTTCACTGTTTGAAACTTCAAATACACAGGCCATGCAGAGGAGAGTTTCTTGTGTGTCCCTGTTTGTAACCACCTGTTTAAAAAAAAAAAAAGTTACAGACATATCATGCCACATGAAGATTGTACATTCCACTTGTGCCTGGAGGACTACAAAGTACTGACTAGAGATCCTCTCAGCCTCACTCTGTACCCTCTAACCCACATTCAGAAAGCTATGAGTCTCATCTGATCCCACCAAGACTTGCCCATCATCTGAGTCCAAGAAAAAAACCACAAGAATTGGTGAGGTTTTTGTGTTTGAATATTCTGAGCTCATTTTTTTATCATCAAGGGAATTTTCTATTATTTTTCTATTATTTTATCCCTGTGGATAATCATTTATCCTAGGCAATTGTCTATCTTATTATTTAAAAAGAAATTTTTGGTAGCACCATTTAATTCAGTGCCTTGCAGGCAGTCTATTACTTAAGCCACACTCCATAGCTCTTTTTGCCTTAGGTTTTTTTGTTTTTGTGTTTGTTTAGGTAGTTCTCACATTATGAGGTTCTCACATTAGTAAGTTCTCTAACTTACATGTCTGCATAGCTAGGATAATTGGCACACCCCAGCAGGCTCAGCTTTTTGTTGAGATGAGCCCTCTTGCTTTGTGTTGGTTATTTTGGAGCTAGGAGTCTCACAGACTTTTCTGCCTGGACTAGCTTCAAACTTGTATCCTCAAATCTCAGCCTCTTTAGTAGCTAGGATTACAAATGTGAGCCACCAGTATTTGGCATCTTATTTCTTTTTGAGGGGGTGAGGATGGTGGTGGTGGTGGTGGTGGTGGTAAAAAACATTCAAAATCTATTCTTGTTCCTTGTTCTCTATCTTATTTTTAAACTTGTGCTTAGTTTTGCTTTACAATAGCCAATGACAAATATGAACTCTATGGGTGCCTGGCTCATTATTACCTAATTAACCAGTGGTGCTAGACTCAGCAAAAGTTGCTGCTACAGAAAGGAAGAACAGTATGGGTAGAATCAAGTCCAATGACAACTCTTCCTCACAGATACAGGCTTTACCTTCCAAACTTTATTGTGAAATACCTATCCGTTTTCCCTTCTATCTCTTGAATTCTTCCTCACACTCCTGCCTCAGCCTCTATTCAGATCTTGAGCTCTCTGACCCAACTTCTCTTCACTGTGGTCTTAGTTATCCATGCCACCCTTAGAAGGAAGTTTCTAAAGGCAAATCTGATCAAATTCAAGACACCACAGTGACTCCATGACATTGGTGCTTGAAAACATTTTGAACTTGGGAGCCTAGCCTACCTTCTCATAAATCTAAGGTTGAAAAAATGCACCAGGATTAAGTTTCCCTGGTGCTTAAGACATCCATGTTTATGGGTCCTTGACTAAAGAATATACTCTCATCATACTGATTTGCCCTATAGAACTGTATGATTCATTTGAATTGTTTTTCTGAGGGACATGGACTCATTTCTTAGCAACTAGCAGAGTGTGTGGTGCACACAGTCATTGAGCAGTCACTTAATAAATATCTGCCAAGTGAGTGAAAATTTCTATCCCAGCCAACAAACTGAGTGCTTGCTATCTATCTACTTGGTATGAAATGCTTTACACAGATTGTCTCATAGGACATTATAGCTCTATCAGTGGGTGCTATTCCCCTTTGACAGAGAAGGAACTGAGGAGCAATTGTGTCCTCAGCTAACTAGATATCTCAGTTATTTTGTCATCAGGAAGCCTTCCCCAACCTCCCAGAGTAGGTGAAACTCTAACATTCTATGATCCTATTGCCAAACATCAGCTGGTTTTCCTTTGCATTCAGTTCTGATGACCTGATGAATGCCTGCCAGCCTGCCTTGCGCATCAGATGCTGGGATGGCTTTTGTACCTTTCCAGTTCATCACAATAACCTCAACCACTGACACCTACATATGCATACATAGAATGGCACTTTTTGGTAAATCTGAAAAATGCTTGCCCATCAAGGCAACTTAAACAACATCTTTCACCATTCTGAAAATCCCTACCATGTTCTGTACTTCCATGATGCCTGGTTTTACAAGTTCTCCACAGTCATCATTACCTTGGATTATAATGGTCCATTTACCTGACTTTTTCCTCAAAAAGCCATGAGTGGAGAATAAGCCAGAAGGCCCAATTTCTCTAGAATTCTCCAATTAGTTGGTTGTCTTCATATCCATAAGCAGTGGCTTAAATTCAATTTTTTCTAAAGACTTGGTAATGTTTCTAGCAGATATATATTGGCAGCTATTAATTCCTCATATCAAGGGAATTAAATTGTTTAATGACATTTTTGAAGTTAATCTAACCTGATTAATCCCAAGAACTGGTACCTGGGCTTGGTGGGACACAGGTGCTCTGATATCTCCAGGCCATATTAGTTAGGTTCTGAGGCTATCACACTCCTTAATGTGCAGACACAAGGCTGGCTTTCAAGCAATAGCTCAGACCCCCTCCAAGAGAACTGAGAAGCCATTCACCCTGTTTTGGTTACTGCTCAAGGCTGTCTAAGATCTACTACAGTCTACTCTTAGAACTGTACTTGTGCTTATAAAGCAATGGAGAACACCTCTAAAACAGGCACCTTCTCCTTGTCAAAACCCATAAAAGTCCATTAGAAAAAAAGGATGTTAATGTGGTTATTAAAGAATAGGTAGGGCTGGGAAGTTCGCTCAGTGGTAAGAGCGCTTGCCTTGCATGCCTGAGGCCCTGGGTTCGATTCCTCAGCACCACATAAGTAAAAAGAAAAATGCCAGAAGTGGCGCTGTGGCTCAAGTGGTAGAGTGCTAGCCTTGAGCTGAAGAGCTGAGGGACAGCACTAAGGCCCAGAGTTCAGGCCCCACGACTGGACCCAAAAAAAATAAATAAATAAAGAATAGGTATTCTATGGGCTGGGAAGGTGGCTCAGTGGTAGAGTGCTTGCCTTGCATGTCTGAGGCACTGAGTTCCATTCCTCAGCACCACATAAGCAGAAAAAGCCGCAAGTGGTGCTGTGGCTCAAAGTGGTAGCCTTGAGCTGAGGGACAGCACCCAGGCCCAGAGTTCAAGCCCCACAACCGACAAAAAAAAAAAAAAAAAAAAAAAAAAAAGTAGGTATTCCAAATTTCTACATTTTGTAGGCACACATGAGAACCCATTGATAGTCTCTCCCTAGAATACACATTTTTCCAGTAAGTAGCATGCCAATCATGAGTTTTGAGATGCCTACAGCTCATTTACCAGTCCCTCCCTAGAGGAGTAGCTCTCAGTCCAGACTACTCAATACAATAATCTCAAGAACTTTAAAAGGAAGCAAACAAAACCCATGATGAACCCTATCCTCAGGTTTCTTTTTTAAAGCCCCTTGGATGAATCTGATATGCAAAGAGCTGTAATTTTAAAAATTGCTTGACTTCCTTTTTATGGTGGCATGTGACAGCTGGCTCATGAAAGTTATAACTACTAAGGAATTTTGGGAACTGGACAACCACTGGTAGCTACAAATTGCCCATGGAGGATGGGAATGAGGCAGAAAGACTAGAAAATAACATTTTGAACATTTTTCCTTTTAACCAGTACAAGCTACATATAGTGGCACACACCTGTAAAACCAGATACTTATGAGGAGGAGACAAAAGGTCAATCAAAGCCAGTCCAGTCAAAGGCGGTAGTCTCAAAATCAAAATAAAGACAAACGGGCTGGGGTATAGCTGAGATGGTAGAGCAGTTGCATACTATGTTCAAGGCCCCAGTTCAATTCATAGCACTACAAAAAGTAAATGAGTACATCTCTTGATTGAGAACTATTGCCCTAATGCAACCAAAACTCTAGGTAAACAATTTTGTCAGTTCTAGTTGTTGTTGTTTTTGGCTAGCCCAGGGGCTTAAACTCTGGGCCGTGGCTTTGGCTCAAGGCTAGTACTCTGTAACTTGAGCAACAGTACCACTTCTGGCTTTTTTCTGAGTAGTTTACTGGAGATAAAAGAGTCTCACAGATTATGCTGCTCAGACTTCAAACCACAATCCTCAGATCTCAGCCTCCTGAGTAACTAGGATTACAGGCATGAGCCACTGTGCCTGGCTAGTATTCTAGTTCTTAATCCTAGTAACAAAGAATAATAAAGAAAGGCTTTCTTCTACGGCCTGAGTATTTGACCACAATATAGTTTTGCTGTTCCTTTCAGCAAAATTGTTTCCACTGAGTATTTCACTAAGTATTTTTATTTTTTTAAAATAACCCTAATGAAGCCCATTACTGATGTAAGTGTTCTTTGAGGGCAATACTGTTTCTAATAATCTTCCCAAATTTGCCATAGAAATCTTCTATGAGCAATTTTTGCTTTCTAGTTAAGTATCATGGGAAGCCACATTGTGCAGGGGTATTGGTAAGTTTTCCCAGCATGAATCCGGAATACTCTGCCTTGACCTTTCACTTCAGTTGCCCACATTAAGTATGATAACACATTTTTAGTCTGTAAAGAATATCTTCTTCCCCTTCTTAGACACTGTATCCTAATCTCATTCATATTTCTCTTGGACTTAACTGCCTATGTTTTCCTTTTTTTAGTAGAATGTTACCCCTTCAAGAAGGGTTTGAAAATACTTCATGACTTGAGTCCAGGTATTTTTGAAGGACAGAACTAATGACTCAGTTTTTGCCTCATTGAAGATTTGCATTCCTGGTAGTTTCTGAGACAACTTTGGCTAACACTGGAATTAGTTGTGAAACTTAAAGAATACTCATGCCTGAGCCCTGTCCTTGGAAATCCCGATGCAAATGGCCTAGGATGCAGTCCTTCTAATATGCAGAGCTGAGAACCTAGGACCACTACTTTGGATTATCTCACTAAACTTTGCATCTGCTAAGCTTAGAAATTCCCAGCCAGATGAGACCCCTACTCTTCTACTTTTCTCTTCAACCTCAAACTTCCAAGTTTGCTGAAGGGATGCCAAAATTCTGTTGGTTAACACCTCAATGCCATGGCCCACCTTCCTTACTCTCCTCAACAAGCCTCACAGTACACTTGGCCAAAGTAGGAAGGAGACAAAACCATTACCAATAAAATTGTGAAGTTTTCCAAAACACTGTTCATCATATATTTCTCTGGTAAATGTTTGAGCTTGTGGATGAAGTTGATCATATATTCACACATTGGGGAGCGATTTATTCGGTATACAAATCGGCCATTCTCAAACCTTGCATACTCCGTCTGTGAGGAAAAAAGGATTTGAGCATTTTTATACTTTTGACTTCAAAATGTAAGATCTCATAGAAATACTTAGAAAGAAAAAATAGTGCCAGATGACCTTGCATGAAAAAGGAATTAGAAAGACAATGGGTCTTTCTAGCTAGGTATTAGTGGCTCACACCTGTAATCCTAGCTACTCAGGAGGTTCAGATTTGTGGATCACAGTTCAAAGCAAGCCCAGGCAGGATCATGAGACTCTCATCTCCAATTAACTACCAAAAAGTTGGAAGTGGAGATATGGCTAGATATGGAGAGCGTGCTAGCTTTGAGCCCCGCCCCCCACAAAAAAGAACAGCAACCAGGCCCTGAGTTCAAGCCTTAGGTCTAGCACAAAATGGGGAAAAGGGAAGAGGAAACGAATGTGCAAACTCTATGGGATACAATTAAGCCTTAACTGAAGGAAATTTAAGGAAGCAGCCTCATCTCAACTGAGCTGTATTTCAAAATAGCATATGCATACAATACGTATATATGATTTCATCTGTAAAAAAGATAGATGCTAACAAAATATATAAAGAGCAAACCATTTACTAGGCAGGTTTAAAGAGTAACTACTTCCAAGGTCACATATTACTATTATTATTATTATTTTGGTTGGTCATAGGGCTTGAACTCTGAGCCTAGGCACTGTCCCTGAACTCTTCAGCTCAAGGGGAATGCTCTACTACATAAGCTACAACGCCACTACCGGTTTTCTGGTGGTTTATCTCAGTTTCATGGATTTCCCTGCCCAGTTTCATGGATTTCCCTGCCCGGGCTGACTTTTGAACTATGATCCTCAGATCTCAGCCTCCTGAGTAGTTAGGATTATAGGTGTGAGCCACCTGACAAGGTCACATATTATGCTAGGCCACAGAAGTAGGAAAACATTCTGATTCTTTTTTGAGACATATAGATACTAAATATTAAAATTTGCTAGACTATATTTTATTTTATTTTAATTTTTTGGCTGTGGAGCCTGGACACTGTCCCTCAGCTCTTCAGCTCAAGGCTAGTGCTCTACCTCTTGAGCCACAGCGCACCACTTCCGGCTTTTTTTTTGCTTATGTGGTGCTGAGGAATCGAACCCAGGGTCTCATGCATGCAAGGCAAGCACTCTACCACTGAGCCACCTTCCCAACCCTAGACTATATTTTAAAAGTATAGATTAAGCTGGGCACTAGTGGCTCAAACCAGTAATCCTAGCTACTTAGGAGGTTGAGATCTAAGAATCCTGGTTTGAAGCCAATCTAGGCAGAAAAAGTCTGAGAGACTCTTATCTTCAATTAACCACAAAAAGACAGAAGTGGAGCTGTGGCTCAAGTGACAGAGCACTAGCCTTGAGCAAAATAACTTCAAGGACAATGCTGAGGCCCCAAGTACGTACACACACACACACACACTAGAGTAATAATTACTTCTGAGACATAAACTTTCTAAATTACGAGCAAGTAGAATCTAGCAACCTATCTAAAGCTTGACTTCTTCACGCAGAGGAGCTGTATTGAGAAAAACTGGAGAAAAATCAAATATAAGTTGTTAAAGAGGCATTTGAGCCAGGGACCTGTGGCTCACTCCTGTGGCTCATGCCTATAATCCTAGCTACTCAGGAGGCTGAGATCTGATGACTGAAGTTCAAAGCAAGCTCAGGCAGGAAAAAGTCCATAAGACTTTATTTTTGGCCAGTCCTGGGGCTTGACTCAGGGCCTGGGCACTGTCCCTGAGCTTTTGCTCAAGGCTAGCACTCCACTACTCCACAGCGCCCATGTGTGGCTTTTTCTGTTTATGTGGCACTGAGGAATCTAACCCAGGACTTCATGCATGCTAGGCTACAACTAAACCACATTCCCAGTCCCTCCATGAGACTCTTATCTCCAATTAATCACCAAAAAGCCAGAAGTGGGAGTGTGCCCCAAATGGTAGAGTGCTAACCTTGAGCAAGAAAAGAGCTCAGGGATAGCACTTAGAACCTGAGTTCAAGCCCCAGTACTGGCACAAAACAAAAATGGCACTTGAATAAAATACTGCCTACCTGCCTCCTTTCTTCTCTTTCCTTAGTTCTGTGCTGCTCCTGGGGCTTGAACTAGGGGTACCTGGGCACTGTCCCTGGACTTCTTTGTGCTCAAGGCTAGTGCTCTACCACTTGAGCCACAGCACTACTTCTGGCTTTTTCTGAGTAGGTGAATGGAGATGAGAGTCTCATGGCTGGCTTGGAACCGTGACCCTCAGATCTCAGCCTCCTGAGTAGCTAGGATTACAGGCATGAGCCACCAGCACCAGCACCAAGCTTCTTTGCTTTTCTTTCTTCCTTTTCTTTTCTTTTTTTTTTTTTGCTGTCACTAAGATTATATGCTGAAAACACATGACTCTAAAAGGAAAATCACTAGAGCTAAGTAAGAGAATCTGCTCAGGTAGCCATATTAAAAACAGAAAGAACTTCTGTTTACACATATTGCAAAATCCAAAAATCTGCCACTATGCGTACTATTAAGAAATATATTCAACAAGGGACAAATCAGTATTAAAAAGCTATTTTAAAAAACCCTATAAAATACCTAAAATAAGATAGAAATGCAAACAGGCTCATGACTGGAAATTTTGACATTTATAATATATCCAGCGGGGAGGGGAGGGAGGACTGGGGAGGTAGAGGAAGGGATGGTAGGGGAAAAATAAAGGAGAATGTTAACAATGCTCAATAGGAAATGTACTCATTACCTTGCTCATGTAACTATAACCCCTCTGTACAGTATCTTTACAATAAAAATATATATGTTAAGAACAAAAAATTAAGCCAGGCACCGGTGGCTCACGCCTATAATCCTAGCTACTCAGGAGGCTGAGATCTGAGGATCATGGTTCAAAGCCAGCCGGGGCAGGAAAGTCCGTGAGACTCTTATCTCCAATAAACCACTAGAAAACTGAAGTGGCGCTGTAGCTCAAGTGGTAGAGCGCTCGCCTTGAGCTGAAGAGAGCAGGGATAGCGCCCAAGCCCAGAGTTCAAGCCCCACAACCAACAACAACAACAACAAAAATTAATATATTCATTTCCCCAAAATAACATCTAAATTTAATGTAATTATAATTACAGCATTCAAACTTTGTTTTTCTTGCACTTTGAAATGTTCTCATTAGAACTGGGAGAGAGGGAGGGAAGGGCTAACATTGAAAAGTAATATACTCTTTACTTCACTTATATAACTGTAATCCCTTTGTACATCACCTTTATAATAACAATAAAAAATTAAATTAAACATGCTCTCATCATTTGGAAATATAAATGCTGATTACTATCTTAGAAATAGGAAAAGGATAAATGGTGAGATTGAATTGCTTCACCTAGTATCAGAATCTACTTATAAAGTTGCCTTAAAATAACATAAAATACAGTATTTGGGATAAGGATATAAAGAGACAGGGTAGAATAGAGTTCAGCAACAGTTGCATAGTTGGTAACTTAAAAGAAACAGATCTGCTCAACTAAAAAACTTGAATTTAAGAAATGATTTTGAAGGCTGGGCTTACACTTGTAATCCTAGCTACTCAGGAGGCTGAGATATGAGGATCATGGTTTGAAGCAAGCCCAGAAGGAAAGTCTGTAAGACTCTTATCTCCAATAAACTACCAAAAAGTCAGAAGTGGAGCTGTGGCTCAAGTAGTAGAGTGCTAGCCTTCAGCAAAAAAACAAGCTCAGGAACAGTGCCCAAGCCCTGAGTTCAGGACCTAGGACCAGGAAAAGAAAGAAAAGAAAAGAGAAAAGGAAAGAAAGAAAAAAAAGAAGGATTTTGATTCAAATGCCTATCTATTGGCAATAAAACATAAGCAGCCAATAAATGTAAACACACAATCTTTTTTTTTTTTTTTTGGGAGGGGGGGGGTGGTCATCGTGGGGCTTGAACTCTGGGCCTGGGTGCTGTCCCTCAGAGTTCAGCTCAAGGATAACTACTCTACCAATTGAGCCACAGTGCCACCTCTGGTTTTCTGAGTGGGTTATTGGAGATAAAAGTCTCCTGGACTTTCCTGCCTGGGCTAGCTTTGAACTGCGATCCTCAGATCTCAGCCTCCTGAGTAGCTTGGATTACAGGAGTGAACCACTAGTGTCTGGCAACACACAATCTAAATAAAGGCTTTAAGGTACACCTCTACCTGTCACACTCATACTACCTTCTCCATGAAAATTTCTGGTATTGTATTATTGGTCAAAAGCAACCTTTCCTCCCTCCCTGAACTTGCAAAGAACTTTGAACCCACTGAGGGCACCACGAGTAATCTTAAGTCTAGGAAGATAACATAATCTGTCTGGCTCATCTTTCTCTCATGCACCTATCCAAGCAGGAAACACACCTTCAGAAGCCATCCCTGATAGCTTCCTATTCACTAACAATGCCTAACACTAATCTTTCACACTCCTAACCACTGATGGATAGTTTGCTTCCTCCTCAGAGAGCTAGAGGTCACCCAGTCTCCCAGTCTTGTCTTACATGGCTACCACCTTACCATCTCCTCAGGTTTCCATGTTGACCCCATTCCTTGTTTATAACCTCTTCTATTTGTGTCTGACCTCAGAGTTGGTTGCTGTTCCCCAAATTTAACTCTTACGTTATGTTCTTTTTATTTCTTCTGGGCAGTTAGTTCTCTATTCCCATAGCTTTATCTTGTTTTTACTTATCTCATCAATTGTAGTTTTCCATCCACAATCATCCTATTTTTATTTCCTTATTATTGATAGTGACAAGCATAAGTATGACCTTTGGCACTCCCTCCTTTAATTTTTAATATGCAGTCAGTTTCTACATTCCACTTAAAATCGTCTTGTCTGATTTCCATGCCTAACCTGACATCAAGTCAGCTTACAGCTTCTGCCTTACCAATTCTCACAACCTGTCTTATGTTCAGGAAGCTAGAGGTATCTAAAGCACCCCCAGAACCTCATGGCTCAGACCAGGGTCTTAAATATATCCTCTTCCTTCTCTCCCATAAGGAATCCTCACACTCAATCCAAAGCACAAAGTCCTTGCACATTTAGGCTGGACTCCTGGTTCTTAGAGGCCCAGATCTATTGCAGGTAACTGCACTGCACATAGACTGGTGTAGAAGACAATAGAAAACACAACTTGGAAGGGAATTCCAACTGCAAACATTCATGCAAAGCATCTCAGTGCAATGCAAGAAATATCTAAAGGTTGAGAAGTATGAAATTCTGTAGGCATTTCATTGTAATATAGACTGAATTTGTATTTAAAACAAGTAAAATGAAGGGAGTAGAAATGGCAAAAGCAACATCATCAAGCTCAAGGTGTTAGGGTTTTTGAAGGCAGATGCCATCAGATCACCTTGACTGTTACCCACAAAACCTGAGCATGGCCTGGACCTGGTGGTAGAGTGGGGCCTGCCTTGATACAGCTTTCCTCCCATATCCCAATAGGATACCTGTTGCTAAGGATGCCTGTTGAGGTGACCAGCACTGGCTAACCAGACAGGAATAATTTCAGAGAGAGCTGGTTCAAACTTCCTATTTCCTTTTAAGTTCTTCCAAATCATTTTGCCTTTTGGAAGTAATAGAGGAAGAGAAACAGGGAAAGGAAAGGAAGACACATGGCAAAAGTACAACATGCTGCCCATGGAAGTTTAAAGGAAAGCAATGGCTTGCTCCTGAAGGAAGTTTCTGTTTCCTGAGGCTAACTTACCTCTACTTTTTCTACTACTTGCTTCCCAAAGGAGCACACTTTGGTGGAACAGGTGACTGTCATATTTTCAGAACTCTCATATTGACTGGTTACGCCATAAAAAGCCCCGGCATCATCTTGAATATTGCAGTTTAAGTCAGCCTGTTGGAAAGGAAATGGATGCAAATTATTCTCTAGTTCCAGGAGTCACAGTGAAGAGCAGGGTAGGTCATTAAGCAGTGTTGTGGTATGTGTGTGGTTTTTGTGTGTATGTATGTGTAGAAGCGAGGTGCTCTGCTAGAAACAAGTCACTGCCCAAAGGTTAGTCTTCCCTTTGAAAGACACTATGTACTCATTCTGTTTTACTTGCGTACATTCAGCACCAGAGTATCTGTGTTCTTACAACCGAAGATTTATTGGTCTCTAGACTATCTGCTAAAAGCAAGGCATGAATGAGTTTCTTTTTTTTCCCCAAAAAACTAAAACTGCTCCGAAGTGTCTGGTTTTACCCAGGGTCTGGTGTCTGGGAAAAAGAATTGAGCAAAAATGCCCACAAATGGTAAAGCAGCACAAGTTTAATGAAGTAAAGTAAGAGGAACACGGGAACTTACTTGCTCCTGTGCTGCAGAGTGAACCTGAACAAGAAAGCTCCCTGACAGGGAGAGGCTTTTTTAGATGGACAATTCTAAATGGCAGGAAGAGACTGAGCTGAGAGCCACATGTTATCTATCAAAGATTGCTAATGCTTTCTGTAGGAAATCATCAGATGTTTATAGCTAGAATAGGCTAGAAGGTAAACTGGAACTTGCGCCTCACTACTCTCTCCTTCTGAACTGGGCCACCAACTTGATTTGGGGAATGATGGCACTAAAGTGAAATCTAGAAAGTGTAATTAGTGATCCTATAGGATAGAATTTCATATTTGCACTTTGTAAGAAATATACACTTTTATACACATTTGGCTTAAGGGGGCGCTTATGCAAGGAATTTTCATTTTAGACAGCAAATGATTGTACTCTTGTTCATTAAACTGTCATGTTGTGTTTCTGTCAATGTTTCACTGAGGCTTCTTCCCAGGATTTAAAGTTGAACTATCCACAGGAGTAAAGTAGTGAAGGAAAACCTCACAAATCTGTTTCTCATAATGAATTCTGGGTTATAGCACAGTAGTTAGAACTGTTTTGCAGTGAAAATTAGCCTCACTGGCTTGCTTCTCTTTCAATTAACTTAATTTCTTATTTCTCATGCAGTAAATATATTCTTTTTCCTCTAAAAAAGGATCCTATAGTCAATTCTCTGTTACTGTACCATGTAGCTATCTTGTACTGACAGTGATCTTAAATTCAACTAGATAACTAGGATCTACATCTTAAAGACTTCTGAAAGTATCTGACAACCAATATTTTAAAGAAATTAGTATATGGAAAAGCTCATTCTACTTTTTGATATTGCTTTTATTTTAGGACCTGGAGCCTCAGTCAGTAGTGAGAGTTAAAAAGAACAACCTCGAGACCAATCTTTTTACATTCTGAATTTCATATTTATACTTGCAAATGCAACGTTGAAAAGAACCTGACCGATCACAACAGTGATTAAGGAATAGTGAATAATAGTGATTATACCATTCTTTTCTATTTTTTGATGCTAATATTTTATTTTTTTAAATATACGTTATTGTTATTACAAAGGTGGTGTACAGAGAGATTACAATTACTTGAGACAGGTAATGAGTATAACAGGAAATGTATTCATGAATTAATTTCTTATACCCAAATCTTCAGAGAGACTGCAAAGACAAGAGATTGTACAGCTGACTAATCATTTGTTATGAGTGAGAAAAAGAAACTGTAGAAATCATAGCACCCAGACAGCAAACAGGTCCTACTAAAGATTGCTTTATAAGATGCTACATGCTTAGTACTAATTTAATGTATTTTTATCAAGTACTTATTATGTGAAGCTCATTCTATGTCCTTGACAGGACTTTGTTACAACCTAATATGGTATGGCTTACAGAGAATAAATACCATGCAAAAGGCACTCATTTAGGGTTCAGATAATGGACAGCGCGGCCTCTAACCAGATTTACTTACAGGAGGGCTAGGACTGGAATAAGTAGGGAAGAGCTGAGGGAACAGAGTGGGCCAGGTCTTAAAAGAGTACCTCACACTGGTTCTGGTACAATGACTAGGGAGTCTGGGAGAACTGAGTTTCGAAATGTAACTTAGGTCCAGGCTCAGAGGGACTAACTGGAAAGAGAAGATTATATCCTGTAGAGACTGGGGACTTTTCAAGAGTTCTAGTGCCAAGAAGTGATGAAATTATAGCAGTGCTTCAGAAAGCCATGTCTGTTAGAGAAGGAGGAGACTCCAGTACTTAGGTCATTGCTGTGGTCTTAATATGAAGGAAATGTAATCTTCAAAGCAACATTGTTGGTCTAAGGGCCTTTGGAAAGGTGTTAATCCATTTGTTTTGCCCTAATGGATGGATTAGTGCCTGAGTAGAAAAGGCTCTCAGGATTGGGTAGGCTCACCTTTCTGCCTTTTATAATGTGAGGCTGCACAATGGCAGCCTCAAGATGTTGGTGCTTCAATCCTGTACTTCACAGCCTCTAGAAGTATGAGAAATTTCTGTTCTTTATGAATTGCCCAGTTTGTGGTATCTCCTCTTTGCAGCACAAAATAGACAAAGGTAGTCACTGAGGGATGCTGCTGTAGCTAAGATCCAAAAGAGGGACATTCTGTCAGAGAGAAGAAGTGTGGGGAGTGGAGGGGCATGCAGTCACCAAGGAGGACTAAAAATAAGGTAGGAGAGACAGCAAATGAGAGCATATGGCAGATGCACAGGGGGTAGCAGGAGGGTTGGATTCTCATATCATGAGACCAAAGGGACATGGGAGTTCTAGGAAAGTAGGATGGGAGCATCGATAAGGTATGATCAGATGTGAAGAGACACCTCTGACCACTGTTTGGGGAAGATAGAAAGAAAGCAAAAAACAGACATAGATGAGGAGGTAGTTACAGCTGTCTAAACCAAAGGTGACAGGTAAAACATGAATTATTGTGACGACTACTGAGAAGTAGGCAGATGCTCAAATAGGATTTTGCATTTTGTGAAGTTTGGCACATTTTAACTAGCTACTTGTAATACCTTGAAAGGCACTTACTACCTACCCTTAAGACTAAGACTTAAGATATTATATAACATAAACATACATGCACACACACACATATACACACAATAAAATAAGACGTGCATTTGAATTTCCTTTTTGGAGTATTAGGAAAAATGTACATCTCTTTAGGCAAAACTTCCTATTTTCTGCCTTCAAATAAAAAGAAATAAGCCAGGTGCTGGTGGCTCACACCTGTAATCCTAGCTACTATAGAGGCTGAGATCTGAGGATTGATGATTGAAGCCTGCTGGGGCAGGAAAGTCTGTGAGACTCTTATCTCCAACTAACCACCAGAAAACTGTAAGTGGCACTGTGGCTCAAAGAGGCAGAGCACTAGCCTTAAGTGAAAAAGCTCAGGGATGGTGCCTAGGCTCTGAGTTCAAGCCCCATGACCAAAAAAATAAAATAAAATAAAAATAAAATAAATAAAGTAAGTAGGTCTGGGAAGGTGGCCCTAGGTTTGATTCCTCAGCACCACATAAGCAAAAAGAAAAAAGCTGGAAGTGGTGCTGTGGCTCAAGTAGTAGAGCGCTAGCCTTGAGCTGAAGAGCTGAGGGATAGCGCCCAGGCCCAGAGTTCAGACCCCACAACTGGACCCCCCCCCCCCAAAAAAAAGTAAGTAGAATTATATACTCAATTTCCCTTTTCCCCTTTCCCCTTCCAAGCTAAATTCAGCATTCAACTATAGTGCTTAACATGGCCAGTGGCTCCCTAATAGCCACTAACAACCAGTGCAAGCTCATTTGTGTGGTTTTCAATCTGCTTTTACTTGCACCTGTCCAGTTTTAGATAGTACCCATAAATATTGTAAACTTTCTCACCTTTTGCTCCTTGAACTTACATGGGGACATAAATCATAAATAAAATACCCAGACATGCATTTTTTTCACATTTCAAAGTTTTATATTTGGTGTCATAAAAAAGGAGTTAGTGGGCCGGGCGCTGGTGGCTCACACCTGTAATCCTAGCTACTCAGGAGGCTGAGATCTGAGGATCGCAGTTCAAAGCCAGCCCGGGCAGGAGAGACCTTGAGACTCCTATCTCCAATAAACCACCAGAAAACCGGAAGTGGCGCTGTAGCTCAAGTGGTAGAGCGCTCGCCTTGAGCTGAAGAGCTGAGGGACAGCGCCCAGGCCCAGAGTTCAAGCCCCACAACCACCAAAAAAAAAAAAAAGGAGTTAGTGGGAAATAGTGGGCCTTTCTTAACTGGACAATTACTTCTAATATTAATCACTCTATTTCTGTAGTTGAAAATTTCAAAAACAAAGACTCCAAAAGTAGAAATGTGGAATTGAGAGAACTGAAGTAACTCAAGACTTGGGTTTTTATAATCACTATGCAATCACTGCTCATTTGCAAATCTGTTTACCACCACCAATGGAAGCTATAGCACTATGAGTGCTACAGACCCAAACTTCTCCTGAAGGGGTCATGAATGGAACTGAATCCTATGCTGCAACCATAGTGAAGCACACACTATGTTATAAAAGTCCAATACTAACCTTACCAATTATTTAAGACATTAAAAATTTGGGCCAACAACCCCTAACCCATCCACAATCTATGACATTATAAAGAATAGTGGGTACATGGTGATAATAAAAAGAAAAGACTTTTGATGCTTTTCCCATTGTGTGTAAATTCCCTTCAGACAAGTAATCTCCTTACTGCCTGGTCAGACTATTCCCACCATCTCAACCTTTGCAGTATTGTGGGGTCTGAACTCCCTGAGTAATTTTAGTATTGTTTTAATTTAGATTGGATGCATCATCTTTGGTTATCCTGACGTGAACCTTCAAGAATGAAGACATAAGAGAACATCCACTGTAAAAAATGTATCTTTAACCAAGCCAAAAAATTTTGTTTTAAAGTTGTTAAAGTTATGATTTTTACATAAAATTAAAGGACAACATTCAGAGATATACATGCCCCCAAACCCTCCCCATACCTCAAAGACTAACCATGATCCCAGTACATTACACCTTAG